CTGCTCAGCCCCTGAAGCAATGTTGGGGGTAGCAGGGGAGTGGTATTGGTGCCTGGGGGGAGGAAAGAGCTGTTTCGTGCTTCCCGGTTGCTATGCCTGTCTCTGCTGCCTGAACCAGTGGGCCGAGCACACAGGTATAAGCCTCTATGCTTTGCATTTGTAGTTGCTGTAGACAGATCTTCCCTCTGACTGGCCTAGTGCCAGGGTAGGGTTTGCCGATTTGCGAGCCAGGTGCGGCTCATCGGGAGAAAGGCGCAGTAGGCTGCCTGTCATGGAGGCAGATCCTTGGAGCTGTGTAGCCAGCCAGAGAGCTAGAGTACCTGGAAATCGTGAAAGCTCCTAACCTGCTGGTCAGAGTGCACCCGGATAATTTTGTCTACATGTCCTTTCTCCTGAGCAGTAAGCTCTGTGCAATCCTTGCCCCTTTAGCAGCCCTCTTGCTAAGGCCTTCCTTGTTAGGAAGAACCTTGTTAGTGGAGAACAGGGTTTTTTGCCCGCTTTTCTTTTGTCCCAGAGAGCCGGATATGGATCCCTGCTTTCCACATGTGGCTGGAATCTCAGTCTCCAGGAATTCTGCCTGTGTTAGCTTTCCCCTAATCATGAGAGTATCTTGAAAGCACTATGAAATGTAGGTTTGTGTTAGGTATTCAGCAGTCCCAGGCCTCCACTCCCTCCCCATTCCGTTTCTCTTCCTCCAGCTGGTGAGCTGGGGTGGGGGAAGGGCTTGGCTCCTGCCGGGCTACAGCTTTGGTACATTACCCTGTTCTGTGAGGTCTTCTCTTTTCTCCAGGTGTATGCAGTCTGGTGCAGTCCTCTTTCCTGTTGCTCTTTCAGCATTAGTTGTATTAATTATATTTTTGTATTATATGTGGTTTTAGGAGGAAGCCTCTGTCTCACCTCTCACACCACCATCCTTAATCTCCCTTAAACTTATGTTTTAAAAGAGACGGTTTTGGTAGCGGTTCTGAAAGTGAATTAGGTTTGGCAAAAGTTGCTGGGAAACTTGCCATGGGAAGCTACCCACATAGTTGGGGTGGTGGTATGTGCTGAGATTTACTAGGGGTAAGGACCATTGGGTGTCACTGCTGACTGCCATGTGCCACAGAAACAAGGAGAGAATATACTGAAAGCAGGAGAAAGGCCTCTTTCTCCTCCATTGAGGACAAAAGACATGGCCTTCGAGCGAGCAGCCAACATCTACATGACGTCCAAGACGCCTCTCTTCAGTACATGCAGTAATGACATTCTCTGATCCTATTTTGGTATACAAATACCAAGACAGTAATAAAAAAAAAACCCCACTCAATTCAAGGCCCAATTCTCATCCTTACTCATCTGATATCAGATAAAACCACATGGATTCCCTGAGCTGATAAAGTAAGGGAACTGGCTGTGAATTTGAATTACTTGATGATTTTGTTAAAAATTCAAATTCTAAGGATTTTTACTGGAAAATTTAAAGCAACTTGAGCTTCAAACAATAACAACAGGAATACATTATAATATTTTATGGAAAAGAAGAATTTATAAGTCTGTCCTGATACTAAAGAGGTAGAAGAATGGAAAGCTCTCCTTAAGACAAGTAAAAATGTCGTTAGAGTGCTCTATCATTAGTTTACAACCATCATAGATTCATTCAAGAATCATTAGTGGATGCAAAAATATGGCATTTTGGTGGAGAACAGGATGTTTTGCACAGGCTCAAACTATCACCCTACAGATTACTTAACGATTACAAAAAGAAAAAGGCACCTTTACAATGCTTGTAGATAGTACTTTAACCAATGATCAGGCTTTGCATCACCAATAATGGGACACAGTGACACTTTGTGTCTCCTAATGTGATAAACTGAGAAGGATACAAGTTCAGCAATGTAGTGTTCTGGCTAAAACCATGTTTAACCTGAATATTCAAACCCTTATGTATCTACCATGAGAGCAGATGGAAACAATCAGATGAATCCAAATTAAGGGTTGCTCTACAAAACAGCAGGCATGGACTCTTCACAGCTGTCAGTGTCACAAATAAGAAAACCAAAAAAACCTAGGTAATTGTTCTGGGTTAAAAAACAACTAAAAAATATGATAGCTAAGTTCAGTGAATAATCCTTGGGTGGATCTTGGATATTAAAAAAGTATTATTGGGACAACCGGGGAAATTTGAACAGGTATTTTATATTACATAATACTGGATCAATATGAAATTTGGTTTCATAGGAGTATGGTTATATAGGAAAATATCTTAAAATGTTTAGGAGATAAATGCTGAAGCTTTAATATTTAAGGGTGAAGTGTCTTGATGTGTGCAACCTAATCTCACCGTGGTCTAGCAAATAAATAAAATCAACCCCCTCTACAAATGGCAATGTTGTCTACAGGGAAAAATCTCAAGAGTCTCCAAAAGCACCTCTAGAATTAGTAAGGGAATTCAGTAATAAGATCCAAATTCAACATACACAATTAAGCATATTTTAATGTACTAGCAATGAACAGTTCAAAATTGAAACTGAAAAAAACTTTTATAACTGCACCAAAACCATGAATACTTAGATGTAATTGTTATAAACTATGCTCATGATTTGTATTCTGAAAACTATAAAGCACCGATGAAAGAAATCAAAGACCACCTAAATAAAGATACAGTGTGTTCTTGGAATGGGAGATCCAAGATCCATCTAATACTGTTAAGATGGCATTTCTCTCCAAACAGATCGATAGATGTAATGCAATCCCAGTCAAGTCCAAGTTTCAGAAGTTTAAGTTAGTAGAAATAAGTCCTTCTAGAAATATATTGAAGTTTAGTGAGAAAAGTAGAAGATAAAAATAGAAGATTGGCAAGATACTGGGGACTAGTGATTTGGAACTTATCAGTAAGAGTAATTATAAGCCTGAGAGGAGGATTTTGCCAAAGGAGTGTACACAGTGTGTGCTCTGTATGTATATGTGTATCTATACACACACATCTCTGGAAGGATACATTAAGAACAATAGTTATTGGAGAACTGGGAAGGACAAGGATGGGAAAGGGAGATTTTTCATTGTATACCTTTTGTATCTTTTGATTTTTATTCCATGTGAATGTATTACCTATTCAAATAAACAATTTATTTAAAAATATCTTAAATTTTATAAAAATATTAATATAAAATATTTATATTTTATAAAATAAATTATAAATATGAAAATATTTAACAAAAATATTAACAGTGGGAAATTGTGATCTTCACTGTCATCTGCATCACATTAAAAATTGGATTTTTTTAACCTAGATTCTAAGTTTAGTATACATATTAGGGATTCTGCTTTATAAAAATTTGTGTTCTTACTTGGAGTGGCAATATTAATCCCAAATAATGGGAAAAAATGGCTTTTGAAAGCTTTTAGCATCACCCAGGAACTCTGTATTTGCTGCCTTAATATTTATCTTAACTGTTCCCTTGTCTGTTTTTGTAATTTCCTCAGCCAGGGAGCTTTGTTTTGCTGCTATAAAGAGGTAAATATGTCTTTGGGAGCTGGCCTAGATTATAATTAGCTTTTAGTGGTCACATGTGTTCTCTTTTGCTACTCTGAAGGGTAAATTGCCCCTTTAGGGATGACTTAGCAGTGAATTTAGCTATTTTAGAATGGAGTAATTGATTTCACTTATTCTTAGACTCTGAGTATGTTTGAATTGGCCAGTATTTCTGATGGGAAGTAATGGGGAAGTTTAAATAAGAAAGGGAAAGGACAAAGAGCTTCCTCTTGTTTAGCAAAAAGTCAGACCTGCTGAAGGGACAAAAATGATTTACCTTCTTGCCTGAAAACCTTTTGCTTTTAATTTAGATCTTTTCCCCACAGTACTTCACAACAAACAAAAGAGACAGAAATTAATGTTTTCTCCCTTCTTTCTACCTCCTTACCCAGTTTTTGGGAGTAAAAGAAAAGTTTTATATTGTTCCACTTACCTTTGTCTTATGTATCACAGAAGAGCAGATGGTTTCTATAAAAAAATTTTTCTATTTCAGTTTCATTGATTTTTTTTTATGGTCTGAGTCAACTAAAGTTCTGTTGAACATTGTAAGGTATATATATAATAGGTCTAAAAGGCAGAAGTTTGGGCATTGTTTTATGTGGAGCTAATCAAGGAAGATGACTTTGTTAAGAACCTTTTCTTTTTCTGGCTCACTGAAGGGGTGAAGTATTGACCTCCAAATTTGGGTCATTTTGGTATGTTAAGGGCATAAAATGCTCCTTTTTATCTGTAGAATTTTCTTTCAAGTGACTGTGACTCATTCTGTAATTTTTTGATGTAGGTACTTTCTTGACGTAGGGGTTAGCAGGAGATTTTCATATAGCTGCTAGGACCCTTAATGTGTAGAGCAAGTTCTCCCTACCTTTTCTTCACAATTATCTTGGTTAATGTTGGCCCTTTGCTCTTACCTATTCATTTTATTATCAGCTTGTCAAATTCTACAAGAAACCCTTTTGGGATTTTGGTTGGAATTACATTGACTTTATAGTTATTTTTGGCAAAATTAACATCTTCATAATGTTATCTTAAATTATATAAATAATGGTTCATTTGTCTTATTTAGGTAGTCTTTTTAATGTTTTGGAATCTAATTGTATAGTCTTGTCCATAAAAAACCTGAACATCTTTTCTAAAATTTATTTCTAAGTGCCTTACATTTGGTTCACTGTTGTAAATGGAATTGTTTAAAAATTTTTATTTTCTATTTCTTACTATTATCTGTAAATAATTATAGTTTAATTTTTCCTTTCCAATTCATATATCTGATTTATTTTTTTGTATTATCTTACTGTATTGACAAGGACTTCCAGTGTAGTATGGGAAAAGAAATGAGAGAAGGCATACTTGTATCAGGTTAAGGAAGTTACCTTTTATTTCTAGTTTGCTAAGAAGTTTGGTTTTTTTTACTCATGAGTGGATTGTGAATATTACCAACTGCTCTCCTATATCTGTTGAGATGAACAAGAGCATTTTCCCCTTTAATCTACAGATGTGATGCTTCTGGCTTGGAAATAATGCTTGCTGCTTCTTCTCTCTGCCCCCTGCCCCCAGGTGATTTGTGGAGCTATGACTTCTTCAGTGGTGAGTTTGTGGTATCACCTGAACCAGACACAAGTGTCCACACTCTTGACCCCCAGAAGCACAAGTATATTATCTTGGGGAGTGATGGACTTTGGAATATGATTCCACCTCAGGATGCCGTCTCAATGTGCCAGGACCAAGAGGAGAAAAAATATTTGATGGTAAGAGGGACTCAATAATTTGATATCATTGTCTACACATTGTTCTGGTACTTTTTTCAGGGGCCTTGCATATGAGCTAAGGATGTTCAGTTTGAGATTTTTGCATTTGCCTGGCTCTAGAAATAATTTAAACTTAGACTTTGCAGCTCATTAGGGGAATGAGACAGGAAATAAATAAATGAAACTAGAAAACAAAGCACATAGCCACTGACTTCATTATAAACAGCCCTTACTGGGCTTCGAAACCTCGCTAATCCTCTTTTTTAAGTTGAGATATAATTCTCATACTATAAAAACTATCCTTTGAAGAGTATGATTCAGTGGTCCCTTAGTATATTTTTAAAGTTGTACAACCATCACCACTAATTCCACAACATTTTCACCACTGCCTTGCCACAAACACTGTAACTATTAGGAGTCATTCACTATCTCCTCCTTTCCCCACCCCCTGGCAACAACTAATCTTTCTGTCTCTGTGTATTTGCCTGTTTTGGTTATTTCATATAAATGAGATAATATAATATGTGGCCTTCTGTGTCTGACTTCTTTCACTTAAGCATAATGTTTTCAAGGTTTATCCATGTTGCTTGCATCAATACTTTATTCTCTTTTATGGCTGGGTAGTTTTCCATTTATGGATATATAATATTTTATTTATCTGCCCATCGGTTGATAGATATTTGGGTTGTTTCCACTCTTTGGCTGTTGTAAATGACATTGCTATGAACAGTCATGTACAGGTTTTTATATGGATATGTTTTCAGTTATCGTAGGTATGTACAAAGGAGTGGAATTGCTGGGTCACATGGTAACTTTATGTCACCTATCCTTTTAGTCAGTTGTAGACCTAGAAATACCCAACCATCAGTGAGAATATCCTTTTATTTCCTTCCTGACTTGCATGAAAATTGATTTCCTTTTCATTCTGAGCAATGACAAAGTAAGGAGAATTGGAGGAATGCCATGTTGGCAAGGAAAGAGAGTTTTGGAGTTAATAGTGAACATTGTCAAGTTCTGTAAAGTAGAGGCAGATTGATGAGACCAGGCCAGGGTATTTTACAGTTAGGATATTTTGTTAGTGACCTCCAAGGATGAAGAGTTTCGGTTGAAGTGCTGAGGGCATTAGCAGATTGGAAGTGGTGGTGAAAGAGTACTTTGTGAAATAGATGTAGTGAGTGTTCAGGTAGACAAGGCAATGTGCCATTGTTAGGCTGAAAAGATTGGATCTTGAAAGCAGTGTTTTAATCTTAAGAAAAAGATTGACATTACATAAAAAGTAAGGGATATTGATCAAGTAAAGGTCCAGAGCACATAGAGATAACTGGAGTTAAGGGGGTGGGCTCTCCTTGGAAAGACAATTTTTCTCTAGGATGGGAGGAATGATAAAGAAGGGTGAATGATAAAGAAGGGTGATAAAGGAGGGTGAAAAGAAGGCAAAATGAACTTGTGTTAAATTGCCTCCATTCATTCACTCATTCAGCTAACATTAGGTACTAGGTGCAGATTGCAAAGGTAAATAGAATATGGTCCTTGCTCAGCATTTACCATGTTATTACAAATAGGATATATAAATACCTATCAATACCATTTGATTGTGAATTGTTCAAAGATAGAGTCATGTCTCGATTAACATTTACAACTTCAGGGCTAGGATGTTGCATCTGGTTAGTGACATCAGATATAAAAGAAAGATGAAATAAAGACTATTTTTTCTTTTGTATTTAGAATTCTTTCATGATGATAAAGAGAGAGAAACATTAGGGGAATGAGAAGGCCAAAAGCCAGTATGTAGTAGATGGCTAAAACCTATCAACATGAAGTGTTTCTAGAATGAGTATTAAAGGAAGCATCCATGTAGCAATATTTAGAACAAGTGTGATGAGAACTGAGAGGGAGAATTTGGGAAGACTGCATAAGTTTCATGGAGAGATATTTGAGCAAGTCTTAAAGGTGGGGTTGCATTTATCAGGTAAATAGATCAAGGGAGGAGAGAAGCTTTCCAGGCAAAGGACTAGAATTGTAAAGTCAGAGAGGAGAGACAATGTTATTGAAAAACTGCATTTTAAATCTGCATTTAGAAAGCTTCTTCATTACAAGGTATATTGTAAAATAGAGGATAGGTGATAATGGATATGAGGATTCTATTTATTAGGAGGTATGAGAAAACCACCTTGCCAATTAACAAAATTAAACTGATGCAAAGTTGGCAAGAAAGAGAATGGGTTGGCAGCAACAATTAGTAAAGAATCCCCAAGAGAAGATGAATTTTGATGAGTTAAATCATAGTTATAATGTCTGTCTTCACCTCTCTTCACATGTTGATTCTTATTACAGTCAGTGGAACTGATTTTGTGGTTTTTAATGGATCTGTTAGGCTTCCACTTTGGTGGCTGCTGTTAAATTACAGCTGAGAAATTTTGCAAGCTTGATCTAGGCAGCAATGGTAAAAAAAAAAACCAACATACACACACACAAGAACAAAATTCTACATGGGTGGTAGAATTGACAGAACTTGGGTTTTTGAGGAAGGAGAATATTATGGCACCCAAATTTCTGCATGGTGACTCATAGCTGTTTTCAAAAAGAAACATACTTGGAAGAGAGGAGATGTAATTAATTCAGATGCAGGCATGTTGAACTGGAGATGCCTGTGGTTCACCTAGATAGATATTTTCAGTTAGGCGGGTAGAAATATTTGAGAGGGAACCTGGAAATACTAATTTGAGTGTTAACAGGAGTTAGGTAAAGCTATGACAATTTATGAGATCATCTAGTGAGACTGTATAATGGAAGAAAAGGAAATGGTATTGGGAAAGCCCAAATTAACAGAATCAGTGAGCTGAGAGAAAAGTGCAAGTAAGACAGTTGGAATGGCTTATAGAGATTTCTTTCCCATAGCTTTGCTGGGAAGGGAAACAGGTACACTGAAACAGTGAAAGGTAAAAGAGTCCTTCAGTGACTTCTCAGTGAGCTAGTGTTTGGAGACTGAGTGAAACATATCCACTGGTGAATGTGAGAGATTCATGAGTTAGAGATTAATGCTGCCTTTTCATCAGTTGTGAGGTATGTAATTTTTTCATATAGGAAAGGAAAAAGCAATGTTGGAAAAAATCATTACAAAGTAGCACATGTTGGGAATGCAAGGATGGCTTAATATTAAGGTTTTAAACAAAATAATTGAGAGGGACTTATTTGCAATTTGCCATCATTAATGTGTCAGAATACTATAAATGCCTAGATTGATCAACACCAAATAAAGATAATTCCCTGTTTTCCCAAGGAAAGGATGGGAAAAAAAAAAACAGTTCTTTATCCAGTTTTAATATGTCAACTTTAGGGATATAGATGACAGCCAAGTGAGTTACAGTACATTATACATTTTTAATCTAGTGCTTACAGTACTGTAGTACATACATTATATAGTATACATTATAGTATATTATAGTACACTAGTATTTTTGTACTTATAGTACCTTAATATATATATATATGTATTTTTTTATTAAGGTATCACTGATATACAATCTTACGAAGGTTTCACATGAGCAGTATTGTGGTTACAACATTCACCCATGTTATCAAATCCCCCAATATCCCATTGCAGTCACAGTCCATCAGTGTAGTAAGAATCTATAGAGTCACTACCCGTCTTCTCTGTGCTTTACTGCCTTCCCCATGAGCCACCTATATTATGTATGCTAATTGTAATGCCCCTTAATCCCCTTCTCCCTCCCTCCCCACTCCCTTCCCTTTGGTAATTGGTAGTCCCTTCTTGGAGTCTGTGAGTCTGCCGCTTTTTTGTTTCTTCAGTTTTGCTTCATTGTTATATTCCACAAATAAGTGAAATCATTTGGTACTTGTCTTTCTCTACCTGGCTTGTTTCCATCCATGTTGTTGCAAATATTACCTTAATATATATATATATATATATATATATATAATTTTATTATCATTAATCTACAATTACATGAAGAACATTATGTTTACTAGGGTCTCCCCTTTACCAAGTCCCCCCCACAAACCCTATTACAGTCACTGTGCATCAGCATAGTAAGATATTGTAGAATGACTACTTGTCTTCTCTGTGTTGCACAGCCCTCCCGTTCTCCCCCCACCACATTATACATGCTAATCATAATATCCCCTTTCTTCTTCCCTGCCCTTATCCCTCCCTTCCCTCCCATTCTCCCCAGTCCCTTTCCCTTTGGTAACAGTTAGTCCATTCTTGGGTTCTGTTTACTTTAATATATCTTTATCACATTACATAAAATAACGAAATTGTTTTCCAATTACAGTTCATGGTACATTTTTCTTTTTCAGACATTTCTACTCATTTTCATCATTCAGTATTTCTAGAGGTACTTTTTAAGACATGTAGCCATGTTTTCTGGAACACATCATTTTCATTTCTGTTCTTTGAAACTTAGTAATTACTGAATCCACATATGATGCTGAAAGTTTTATTCCAAGCTACATTTATTTGTGTAACAGGAAATCATTTATTTTTATTTCTTGTTGCTACTTTTTTATCTCTATACTATAACCACGTATTGTATTGCTTTTTTCCTCATATGAGTGACACTGACCATTAATATATATATTTAAGAGTCATTTATATTTCCTTGTCTCTGAGTTTTTTCCATATCCTTTGACAGTTTTTTTATTGGGTCATGTCTTTGATTGGTAGAAGCTCTTATTTTAGGAGAAAATTGGCCCTTCGCAGTGTTAGCTATAATAACTTTGTTTACTCCCCTCTTTATAACTTCTGTGTAACTTTTTCTGATTAATGTTAACAGTGAAGACTGAGTTTTTGCTATGAAAAGATAAAAATACAGGTGAACTGTAATCACAGGATGAGACCTTGTTTTGATTTTGTTTTTAATTTAGAGCAGTACCATTTTAACATAGTTGTGGGGACTGTGGACAATGTTTGAAGTCTTGGAAATGTATGTGTTTAGGCCATATTGAATACCTTCAATATCAAATTTTAAATTTGATGAAGTAAACTGAGTTACCTTCTTTCTCCTTGTTCTTTTAAATACAGGGTAAGCATGTACAATCTTGTGCCAAAATGCTCGTGAATCGAGCACTTGGCCGCTGGAGGCAGCGCATGCTTCGAGCAGATAACACCAGTGCCATAGTAATCTGCATTTCTCCAGGAGTGGACAGTCAGGGAAATTTCACCAATGAAGATGAGCTCTATCTGAACCTGACTGAGAGCCCTTACTATAAGAGTCAAGAAACCTGTGTGCTGACTCCTTCTCCATGTTCTACACCACCAGTCAAGGTATCTAATTCTACAGTATTTAAGCATTGTAATGGAATTTCTTTAATGAGTGTTACCTGAAAACAGTTTTAGATTCTTTTTATAATAGGATTTTTCGATTTGAACTAAGTTCAAGAAAGTGATGGATCTTTGCCATATATCTTATTGTCAGTGCTAATATGAGTGCCAGCTGCGTGTATAGCACCTTATAGAAAGGTGATTAGATGTGACCCCTGAAAAATACCAGCTATATTAAATATATTTGGAATGTATTGATCCCCTTCTAATACTATGAACATTTGCGAGCATTTAAAGGTTTGTGAAGCACATTCCTTATATTTCATTTGAGCCTCATAACCTAGAACAGTAAATAAATAGTACAGATGTTATTATATTTTATAGACAATAAGACTGAGAGATTAAGCAGTTTGAATAAGATCATTCAGAATCAAGATTGAACTGGACATTAGGATCTCAGACCTTAGAACTGGTTTTCTATTAACATGGATAAGAAACATCATTCCTTTTTCTTATCCATGTTAATATTGAATGAGTTTAAGATAAGCTGTCAAATAAGCAAATTTAAATGGTACCATATTTCCCCTTTTCTAATTTCATCCCTATTTTTTTCCTTCTATAAATTATCAATATTGATAACCGCTTTGATATACTTGGCCTTCTGAGAATATGCTTTCAGAATATTGACTATTAAAATGGGAAATACAGTGGAATTTTATGTTTTGTATTCAGGTAGTTTTTAAAGGTGTTCAGAGCTGCACAATACAATAAATTTAATATGGCGTGTTGTGATCCTATATTCAGTACTTGGAAATACACTATCACTCCTTTGCGTGCTTTTACTTCACATTACACATGGCACCTTAGTTTTCCTTACATGGACTCTTCATTTAGAAATTGACAAATTATTTTATACTTACTTTGCTAAATTCTTGTCAAACCTTTCTTTTCTTTGAAAATCTTTGGATAATGATGCAGATTAAAACCTTTTAAAGTCTCTTCTTTCTGAAATTGAATGTATTCATTTGTTTTCATGTTCCCTAAAGTACTTGTACATGAATAGTTGACCTTTAGGAAGGATAGAGAAGGAAGTAAGGGTGAGGGGACAGAAGATAATGTAATAAGAATATGTATTCTTAATATTGATATAAAAATATTGCTGTCTCCTGATTGGCATTAGTAAAATTTTACGTAAATTGCACATGAAGTATGTTTTTAAAATTATTTCTACAATTCTGAAAAATAATCTAATGTAAACTAATGATAAGGAGATTTATATATGCACTACCTTTTATGTATGTAGCCTTGGTTATTTGTTAACCAATTGGCCCCACCCAAATAAGGGAAAATATTTAGAGCCATTCAGAATAATTAGTATTGTTGTCTATGACCTAACAGGTAACTAAAAGCAAACTTCTGCCCAATAAACTGTTTTGTTTTATTTATATTAATTGACACAGTTCTAAGAACTCAAAAATATCTCTGATTAATTTCATTGTTTCAATAATCCTATGTTTAATAACATCTAGATAAATATAATGATATTTTGGTTGATTTTGAATTATTTTTAAGACTTTCTCACATTTAGATTAGGCATTTAGGACCAGGTTAATCTATCTACAGTCATGTCAACTTCTGTTTGAATTCTAAGATAAACCAGTAGTCAGATCTTTGTTTTGAGATGGCTATTGAGTAGGAGTACCTCTGTTTAAGTGATACATCACTACAGCACATTTCTTTCACCACATACCCCATTATAGTCACTGTCCATCAGCATAGTGAGAAGCTATAGAATCACTACTTGTGTTCTCTGTGTTGTACAGCCCTCCCCGTACCCCTCCCAACATTATGTCTGATAACTGTAATGTCCCTTTTTCCCCCTTGTCCCTCCCTTCCCACCCATCCTCCCTAGTACCTTTCCCTTTGGTAACTGTTCTGTGTTCTTGGGATCTGTGAGTCTGCTGCTGTTTTGTTCCTTTGGTTTTTTCTTTGTTCTTATACTCCACAGATGAGTGAAATCATTTGGTACTTGTCTTTTTCAGCCTGGCTTATTTCACTGAGCATAATACCCTCCAGCTCCATCTATGTTGTTGCAAATGGTAGAATTTGTTTACTTCTTATGGCTGAATAATATTCCATTTTGTATATGTTCCACATCTTCTTTATCCATTCATCTACTGATGGACACTTAGGTTGCTTCCGTTCCTTGGCTATTGTAAATAATGCTGCAATAAACATAGGGGTGCATCTGTCTTTTTCAAATTGGGCTGGTGCATTCTTAGGGTAAATTCCTAGAAGTGGAATTCCTGGGTCAAATGATATTTCTATTTTTAGTTTTTTGAGGAACCTCCATACTGCTTTCCACAATGGTTGAACTAATTTACATCCCACCAGCAGTGTAGCAGGGTTCCCCTTTCTCCACATCCTCACCGACATTTGTTATTATTTGTCTTTTGGATAGTGGCCATCCTTACTGGTGTGAGGTGATACCTCATGGTTTTAATTTGCATTTCTCTGATCACTAGCGATGTGGAGCATCTTTTCATGTGCCTGTTGGCCATCTGAATTTCTTCTTTGGAGAAGTGTCTGTTCAGATCCTGTGCCCATTTTTTAACTGGATTATTTGCTTTTTGATTGTTGAGGTGCACAAGCTCTTTATATATTTTGCATGTCAACCCTTTATCAGATATGTCATTTATGAATATATTCTCCCATGCTGTAGGATGTCTTTTTGTTCTATTGATGGTGTCCTTTGCTGTACAGAAGCTTTTCAGCTTGAAATAGTCCCACTTGTTCATTTTTGTTTTGTTTCCCTTGCCTGGGGAGATATGTTCATGAAGAAGTTGCTCATGTTTATGTCTAAGAGATTTTTGCCTATGTTTTCTTCTAAGAATTTTTTGGTTTCATGACTAACATTCAGGTCTTTGATCCACTTTGAATTTACTTTTGTTTATGGGGTTAGACAATGATCCAGTTTCATTCTCTTACATGTAGCTGTCCAGTTTTGCCAACACCAGCTGTTGAAGACATTGGGACATTGGGAGCTTGCTGTCATTTCCCCATTGTATATCCATGGCTCCTTTATCGTATATTAATTGACCATATATGTTTGGGTTAATATTTGGACTCTTTATTCTGTTCCATTGGTCTGTGGGTCTGTTCTTGTGCCAGTACCAAATTGTCTTGACTACTGTGGCTTTGTAGTAGAGCTTGAAATTGGGACGTGAGATACCCCTGCTTTATTCTTCCTTCTCCGGAATGCTTTGGCTCTTCGGGGTCTTTTGTGGTTCCATATGAATTTTAGAACTATTCCAGTTTGTTGAAAAATGCTGTCGGTATTTTGATAGGGATTGTATTGAATCTGTAGATCACTTTAGCCAGAATGGCCATTTTGACAAAATTTTTCCTATCCAAGAGCATGGGATAAGTTTCCATTTGTTAGTGTCCTCTTTAATTTCTCTTAAGAGTGTCTTGTAGTTTTCAGGGTATAGGTCTTTCACTTCCTTTGTTTGGTTTATTCCTAGGTATTTTATTCTTTTGGATGCAATTATGAATGGAATTCTTTTCCTGATTTCTCTTCCTGCTAGCTAATGTTAGTGTATAGGAAAGCAACAGATTTCTGTGTATTAATTTTGTATCCTGCAACTTTGCTAAATTCTGTTATTAGTCCTCATAATTTTGCAGTGGATTCTTTAGGGTTTTTTATGTACAATATCATGTCATCTGCAAATAGTGACAGTTTGACTTCTTCTTTACCAATCTGGGTGCCTTGTATTTGTTTGTTTTGTCTGATTGCCATGGCCAGGGCCTCCAGTACTATGCTGAATAACAGTGGGGAGAGTGGGCTGGGTATCCTTGTCTTATTCCTGCTCTAAAAGAAAAGCTTTCTGCTTCTTGCTGATAAGTATGTTGGCTGTGGGTTTGTCATATATGGCCTTTATTATGTGGAGGTACTTGCCCTCTATACCCATTTTGTTAAGAGTTTTCTTTTTTGTCTGGGCTGTGTTTTCTTTTTCTTTTTTTCTTTTAATTTTTTGTTAAGGTGTGATTGATATACACTCTTATGAAGGTTTCACATGAAAAAACAATATGGTTACTACATTTACCCATATTATCAAGCCCCCACCCATACACCAATGCAGTCATTGTCCATCAGTGTAGTAAGATGCCACAGATACTGTGTGCCTTCTCTGTGCTGCACTGATCTCCCCGTGATCACCCACACCATGTGTATTAAACATAATACCTCTCAATCCCCTTCTCCCTCCCTCCCCACCGACCCTCCCACACCCCTCCCCTTTGGTAACCACTGGTTCATTCTTGGAGTCTCTGAGTCTGCTGCCATTTGTTCCTTCAGTTTTGCTTCATTGTTACACTCCACAAATGAAGGAAATCATTTGGCATTTGTCTTTCTCTGCCTGGCTTATTTCGCTGAGCATAATGTCATCCAGCTCCATCCATGTTGTTGCAAATGGTAGGATTCGTTACTTTTTTATGGAAGAATACTATTCCATTGTGTATATGTACCACATCTTCTTGATCCATTCATCTACTGAGGGACTCTTAGGTTGCTTCCATATCCTGGCTATTGTAAAAAGTGCTGTGATAAACATAGGGGTGCATATGTCTTTTTGAATCTGAGAAGTTGTATTCTTTGGGTAAATTCCAAGGAGTGGGATTTTGGCATCAAATGGCATTTCTATTTTTAATTTTTTGAAGAACCTCCATATTGCCTTCCACAATGGTCGAACTAGCTTACTTTCCCACCAGCAGTGTAGAGGGTTCCCCTTTCTCCGCATCCTTGCCAACATTTGTTGTTCTTAGTCTTTTCGATTGTGGCCCTCCTTACTGGTGTGAGGTGATATCTCATTGTGGTTTTAATTTGCAATTCCCTGATGATTAGTGATGTGGAGCATCTTTTCATGTGCCTGTTGGCCATCTGAATTTCTTCTTTGGAGAACTGTCTCTTCATATCTTCTGCCCATTTGTTAGTCGGGATGTTT